GCTGCTGCGCGAGCTGCACTGGCTGCCTGTGGCCTTCCGAGTGCGCTTCAAGGTGTTGATTATCATCTTTAAAGCGCACCATGGCATTGGACCTGGTTACCTCCGAGACCGCCTTCTGCCACAGATCACCTCCCACCGGCCGATACGCTCCCACAGAGAGGGCCTCCTCAGGGTGCCGTCAACCAGACAGTGTTGGCTGGCGACCCCCAGGGGGAGAGCCTTCTCTATCGGAGCACCCACCCTCTGGAACGAGCTGCCCCCAGAGATCCGGGTGATTCCGGATCTCCCCTCCTTCCGCCGCGCCCTCAAGACTTGGTTATTTCAGCGGGCAGGACTGGCCTAGGGGTATTTTAAATTGGTTTTAACAAAATTTTTAGTAGAAGCGGCCTAGTTAAATATTTATTTTAATCACTTTTAAATTTTGTATTGTATTGTATTATTGTTTTTAAACTGGCTGTAAGCCGCCCTGAGTCCTCCGGGAGAAGGGCGGGGTATAAATTTAATAAAACTAAACTAAACCTCGTGCGTGAATTTGGGCACTGGATACGTCAGCAGCAGCTGAAGACCTTGGTGTGGCTTAAGCGGTGTTCTTAAGAGCTCTTGCAGCAAAGTGTTCAGTCTGGAGACGCCGGTGTGAAAGGCTTCATAGGACCATTTTATGCTGTTTCTGTCAGCACACCCCTTCTGCCTATGATGGCGCAAAAGGAAAGGCGACATCCTTCGATAAGTCAGAAGGCATAATATTTACGTGCAATTATTTACAGATGCAGAATAAGAAAACTGCCTGAAATCTAATCTGATGGGGAAACAGAGTCCACCAATCACTGCAAAGAAGCAGCAGAAAAGTTTGCTCCTACTTGAGTTGTTATCTCCTGACCCACAGCATATGTTGTTTATTCAACAGTCATTGGGGCAGTTGTCAAAAACAAATCTACCATTGCCCAGGGTACACAAAAGAAAACCTTGATAAGCCTGAAATAGTTTGGAACAAGGAGGCAAAACTGAAACTGAAAAGACACGCTAAGAAAAATGGAAAAGGAAAAACAGCTAACACCACTAGAGAAAAAGCATATGCAACCGGAAGACTCCTCCATACCCAGGTTCTACGGATGCCCCCAAATACACAAGGACAGGATCCCCTTATGCCCAATTGTGTCTCTACCTGGAACACCGATGTACAAATTAGCAAAAACCCTGCAGAGGAAACTCAGACACCTGGTCAACAACTCAACTAAACTCCCCAGAACAATTTCTCCAATGCATCAAACACACGAAGATCAACAAGGAAGAAATCGTGGTCCCCTTCAACGTCACCGCCCTCTTCACCTGACGTCAACCTGGCTGAACAAACCATGCACCACCTACTCACCGAACACCATACCCACAAAGCGGACGCCACCACAGAGCATGCCACGTCCACAGAAACCATCATGAAACTCCTGGATCTGTGCCTCAACACAACACACTTCAAGTTCAATGGGAAAATGTACAAGCAAGCACAAGGCACCCCAAATGGGATCCCCCATATCAGGCCTCGTAGCAGAAGCAGTCATGCAGCGACTTGAATCCATTGCTCTACCCACCATCCAAGATTCTGGACACACAACGTCGATGCCGACCTCGTCATCATCAAACGCTCCTAAATTGAAGAAACACACCACCTACTCAGTTCTTCCTCACATTCAGTCACCGCCTGCTGTCCTCTCCTGGAACATGGAGAGGCTCCTCCTGACCCCAAGCCCCCTTCGCAGCCGTCGTGTGCCTGTTTTCCCTCAGGAATCCTTCTTTGCATGCCTCAGCCGTGTCCTTTTGGCTAATTCATCTGGCCTCCTCCCTTTTCATAGCACTTGATCCCAAACACGGCATTCCAGGCGAGGCTGGATAACTGCAGAAGGTGCTGCAAACATCAGAACTTGGCTTTGTTGCAACCTCATCGCCCACTGATTCGGGTGTAGCTTTTGGCCTGCTACACCGTCCCAGAAACCTGGCTGCTTTTACTGCCGCCGTGTCCAAATTATCCGATCCTTTCTTTTGCAGACGTTGGCCTGGGGAGATTAGGGTGGCCTTCAGGCAGTGTGTTGAACCAGCTTTTTGCAGATCAGGAGAGGTCCGTTAAATTAAGTTTTTCACGGGCTAATATGTGGGGTGTGGAGCCCACCTGCTCACTTGGCGGATGCTTCGAGCTGTTTCTCGGCCCCAGAAAATGGCTTGGTGGCTGCCCGCGTCTTTCTGCAGGCCGAGCGGCCTGTCCTGGCTCTTCCCTGCCCAGAGTGAATGTGGGGTGGAAGGAAGCAGACCCAGGAAGGGAAGGGTCTTCCAGACCCCCGAGGGTCTTCTGGATTCGAAAGCCCCTCCAGGGTTGAATGGGAGGCAAGGGGGGCCAGGAGGGAGCAGAGCAAAGCAAAATGTTGCATTGAAACTGGCCCTGGGGGGCTCACTGCCAGAAGGGGGGGGCTGCAGCCTCCTGCTGGGGGCTGTCCCTGGGCACAACTCTCTTGGCAGAGGACTTTTCCTTTTTTTTTTTAAATGATGCAGTAGCCCCTAAGCTCATTTTGGACTCCCTCCCTCTGTGCCCCCCCCCCCCCGGCATCCAACCCAAATCCTGACCCAGTCCCTGTTCCTCATTTAGGAGGCTTCCTGAGGGTCAGGCTTCTCCGCCTGCAGTTTTCTTACAGTCCCACTTTACTCCATAGAGCAGAATAACAGAGTTGGAAGGGACCTTGGAGGTCATCTAGTCCAACTCCCTGCATAAGCAGGAGAGTCTATGTATCATTTCAAGAGAGTGGCTGTCCAGTCTCTTCTTGAACGCTGGACCGGTGCTGGGCCTCCCTCCTTCCCATAACTGACCAGGCTGAAAGGAGATGGAGCAGAGGGGGGGGATTCTGGGTGTGTGTGGGTGTGTGTGGGTGTGAACTAAAGCCATCAATGTAAGCCATAACAGGGTTTCTTACTTGGGCATTGTCTGTGACAGGGAATGCATCAATTAAGGCTTGATTACCTGGTTTTAGGGTTGAATGTATTGTGAGAATCAGCTGCAAGGCTTTGTGGAGATGAAAAGAATACAGCAAACAGTCTGGTCAAAGTTAAAACTTCTTTTTAAAATGGGGCAGGATTGTCTCCTGCCCCAGCTTAGCCAGAGGGTCTTCCTGCTTCTGAAATGGGATGGGCAGCCAGCCAGCCTCCCCCCCCCAGTCCTTCAGGTCCCCTTTAATTCCATTCCAATTCAGTTCAGTGGCCCCCAACCCTGGCCAAAGCCCAGCTGCGGTGGTGGGGGCACTGTGGCTAATGGCTGTGAATATTTCTCCCCTCCCCTTATTTCTAAGGGGTCTCCCAGCAAGGGACGATCAAGATATAAATTCTTGGAAAAAGGAAGCACTGCTGAAACCAGATCAAGTTGGGTGCCTTTCGAACCCAAGGCCAAAGCTGCATCCATCCGATCCGAGATGCCAAATCCAGGCGACCCACAAAAGGCAGCCAGCCACGCTAGAACCGGGGAGCTCAAGGCTGAAGTCTCCCTGTTCTCAGCTTGGTTTTTTCCCCCCCTTTTTCCCTGCAAACCTCCCTAGTGACTAGTCCACATCATCAGCAGGAACCCAGTAGGGAAAAAAAAACTAAATTCAACTTGTAATCCTTTGCTGCCCTCTAGTGGTCGATCCGTTACAAGCCCTAATCACAATTGACTAGCCATCTGTAAGGTCTTCTCTGGATCTTAGCCACTGGAAGGCTTGCGGACTTCAATTCCCAGAATCCCCCAGCTTGGGGACTTCTGGGAATTGAAGTCCATACATCTTCCGGTTGCTAGGACTGAGAAACACTGGTCTAGATTGTCATTTGCAGCTGTGGAGTCCTCAAAGGGTTGGACTCTGGCGTTTCCTGAGTGGGTGTACGGGGGGCTCAGACCTTCCTACCTGAGACGTTAATTTTAATCACATTAAGACAGGGGTCTTCGAACTTGGCCCTTTGAGGACTTGTGGACTTCAACTCCCAGAATTCCTCAGCCAGGCACGCGTGCCTGGCTGAGGAATTCTGGGAGTTGAAGTCCACAAGTCCTCAAAGGGCCAAGTTCGAAGACCCCTGCATTAAGACTTAGGGTTATTCCAACACAAACAGCCTGATACAATTCCATTCCTTTTCAAGAAAAAGTGCCCCAAGTCAGGTTGCGTGCAGACTTTTGGGAGAGATTCTGGCTGCCTTTTGTGCTCACAGTATAGATTTGAGCAGCAAGGAACTATTTCCGCTGGCCGAATCAGAATTTGCCATCCCAAAGTCACAGGTTTGGGATGCTGCCGTTTCTAAAATCTGCTTCCTCTCAGCTCCCACCGCATGCCTGGCTGGAACCAGGGCTAGGAGGGTCCTCCAGGCCAGGTTGTCCCAATGGGGCTGGTGATCCCGGATGCAAATGTTACAGCCCTTGCAAGGCCCAGTTAAATACCTCGTCAGATGCTGTGAAATCGGACGCAGGGCTGGCCTTTCTGCGGCTTTTAGGCCGCAGTTCTAACCTGGTTTGAAGGCCCGCTGAGATCAAGGTGGTTACTGCTTCTCAGGGGAGCTGCCAGCTTTATCCTGGGCAGGGGTCCTACAGTTTGGCGAAAAAGGGAGGGGGTTGCATTCCTCTTTGCTTAAAGGGAGGGAAAAAAAACAACTTTCCAAAGCCTGGGTTTAGAATTCAGAAAATTCACTAGAATTCTATGAAAAATAATAATAAAAATTTTCGGCCCCTTCAAAGGGCAGAAAACAAATAGCATT